TCTCTGTGGAGTGGAGGATGCATGAAGCAAGAATATTCTAACTGAAATGGGACAGTAGAGGTGTTGCTGGTCTTGCCAAGTGGAACAACCTGTTAATTTTTGTTATCTCTGTGTTGTTGTGAAAGAAAAGCACTTGCTAGCTAGTGCAGCATATCAAATGCCAGGGCTGTCTTAATTTTCTCAAGAAGGAGCTTCCATCTGGAGTGGCAACTGCAGTTGAAATCATCTTCTAATTAAGTTTATGATAATCTGCCATGGCTCTTCTTTCCTTTTTTATTTTAATTTTTTGCCATTTTCAAATCTATTAGTTTTTGCAGTAGCAAAACTAGTGAAAGCATTTACTAAACATGTCTCATGTCTCTGTTCTCTTTTGGGATGCCTTGCTGAAGAAATGAAGCTTTGCTTGTTCGTAACTAACCCCTCCTAAATCAGTTTAGCCTCTGCTGAGAGATTTGAAGCTTAGAGTCCACCAGTTGTTGAAAGAACACATTCTAAGTATATACTCAATGATTGGAAGAATAACACCAATGCAATTTCTTTGTTTTAGGCATTTGATGTTTTCTGGTGCTATTAAATATGGGATTGCTTTAAATTTTTACTTTCCAATTCTCCTTTGCATGTGTGTAGAAATCCAATTGCTTTCTCACTTACTGATCTCTTATGCTGACACCTTGTTAAATTGACTTAGTATAATAAATCCTCTCTTCTCCTTTTTTTTTTTTTTTTTTTTTTTTTTTTTATGTCATAATAGTTACCTGAAAGTACTGACAGTTTTATTTCTTTCCAATTGTTTTCTACCTGCCTTATTGCATTGGTTAGGAAGGACATCCAGTGCATTGTTGAATAGAAATAGTGATAACAGGTACCTTTGTGTCATACCTGAGCTAGGAGGTAAAAGCCAAGATCTGGGTGCTGGGTTCACTGACACTCTTCAAACCTCAAGGGAAAACCTTAAAATGTTTATTGCATGGCTGTGTATGTAAGCATGTACACACACATACATCTATACTGTGTTAACTGAGTACATGTCTTAATTAGGGTTTCTAGTGCTGTGATAAAATACCATGTCCAGGGCTGGAGAGATGGTTCAGCACTTAAAAACACTGGCTGCTCTTCCAAAAGTCTTGAGTTCAATTCCCAGCAACCACATGGTGGCTTACAACCATCTGTAATGAGATCTGGTGCCCTCTTCTGGCCTGCAGGCATACATGCAGGCAGAACATAATAAATAAATAAATAAATAAAATCTCTCCCCCCCCCCCCGGAGCTGAGGACCGAACCCAGGGCCTTGTGCTTCCTAGGCACGCACTCTACCACTGAGCTAAATCCCCAACCCCTATAAATAAATCTTAAAAAAAAAAAAAATACCGTGTCCAAAAGCAGCTTGGGGAGGAAAGGGTTTATTCCATCTTACAATTGAGTGATGTAGTCCATCATCCAGAGAAGTTAGGACAGGAACTTAAGCCAGACAGGAACCTGGACACAGGAACTGATGCAGAAGCCATGGAGGAGTTCTACCACCTGGGTTGCTCAGCCTGCTTTCTTACAGCACCCAGGACCACCAGCACATGTATAGCTGGAAAGTTTCTCTTCAGGACCCACCAAGCCCCCGCAGTCCCACAGCCCACTTATAAAATAATCACTCAGAAGCTTAAATTAATTACAACTGCTTGGCCATTAGCTTAGACTAACTACTGACTAGCTCTTACACTTAAACTCGGCCCGTTTCTGTTAATCTATATGCTGCTACATGTTCCATGGCTTTACCTGTGTCCCATTACATGTTGCTCCTTTGGTGGCTTGCTGGCGGCTCTCCTGACTCACCCTTCCTCTTCCCTTCCTCCTTCTCTCTGCTTATCCCACCTATACTTCCTGCCTGGCTACTGGCCAATCAGCGTTTTATTTATCAACCAATCAGAGCAACACATTCACAGCATACAGAACATCCCACAGCACCTGCAGGGTCTGTGAGGCTGGGCAGGACCAGAGAAAACTTTCAGCTACAGCAGTTTTAATTAATATAAGCCTCTGTGTGTTTATTTGGGTCTGAGCAGGACCGGGGTCGTGGGAGCCGAGCAGAAACAGGAAAACCTCAGCTACACACATGTTTACTATGAACTGGGCCCTCCCACATCAGAAATCAATCAAGAAAATACACAGTAGGCTTGCCCACAGACCAGTCTAATTGGGGTATTTTTCTCAATTGAAGCTTCCTTCTCTCAAATGACTCTAGCTTATGTCAAGTTTAACATAAAACTAGCCAGCACAGTATCTGTGCATTTTCTCTTTAATTCTTATTCAACTCATAAGAGTTGTCTCTAGTCTTTTCCCTTTCCATATTCTAACTCCTTTATCTTACAGTAAGAGACATGACTACATTAACCTGGGAGTTTTTCTCTTTGATCATCAGGCTGACACAGGCTTTCTCCTCTGGCTTCATACATCTGTTTGCTTTACTTCCTAATTACAGGTGGCCCCCAACATGGACTCCAGTGGATGCTCACCACCCATCCTACAGATGCTAGCTTCCTTCTGTACTTCAGCACCATGGTCAGGGCTCTTTCTCAGCTAAACTGCCTGTGTGCACCACTCTCCTGGACACTCTCCCCATAGTCTTCTAGCATCTGGTCATCTGTCAGTGCAGTATACACTTTGTCCTGCTCATGTGATTGCCTGTAGGAATGGAAATCCTGGATGCTTTCATTCCTGACATTAATAGCTTACATTGCCAGTTTTTCTAACTAGTCTGTTCTAACAATTTATCAATTTTATATCTGTTTTTAGTGAATATTTTCATTTGTTAAAGCTTTCTGACCTATACATATTTTTAAATTTATTTTTCTGTTTTTTATTATTTTATCCCATCTTTTTTTTTAAGTTTTTACTTTATTTTCTTGAAGTTCCCACACATCCTAGAATATGCACTTAAACCTGGGGAATTCTTGATCCACTATGTGCCAGTGGGTATATAGTTACTATCTAATTTAACTCATTGGCAGATGAAGTACAAGAAAGAGGAGAGAGGACAGTTGTTTAATGAGTTAAACTATGTCAGTTGAGGCTACATTTGCAGCTATATGCAGAAAATGAAGCTATCATGTTTACTTTGGTGTTTTAATTTGTCTTCCTTGGTCATCAAAGTTGGGAGTAATATTTCTGATACTCAGACTCTCTTGGTGTTTGTTTTTATTATTATTGTTTGTTTTTCAGGTTTTTTTGCTGCTGTTTTTGGTTGTTTCTGTTTTTTGCCTTTGCTTCTCCATCCCCAGATTTTATTCTCATGTTTGTCACTTCTCAGACCCAAGGTGGGTACTGAACCTCAAGCAGAAGGAAGGAAGAAAGAGATGCCAATTGAGTGTCCCTGCTTTTATCAGGAAAACCAAAGCATTTCTGGCACCCAGGCTGAAACCTTCCACTTGAACCTGTTGGCAGGGGTAGCTGGGGCACTGCTGGGAGGTCAGGGCTCCCCTGTGTGGACTGTGCCATGCACTTGTCTTAGTTTCTTGGCTGCCACATGGCTGTTATTAATACATCCTCTCTAGCTTAACTTCAACTGCATTGTTTTGATGACTTGAAAGTTTGTGCTAGACTCATAGGTAAGACACTTTATTTAAAATTAAGGCCTTTGATCAGCTATGTGAATTCAAAATTAAGGAATTAATTTTTTCATTTGAATGACGGATTTGATGTTTTTTTAAATGAGGGCTTTAATTTTTATGAAAATTTTAAGGAAATGCTGTATTGAGTATTTGAACTGACCTCCATAGCAATTTTATTTTAAACTACCTTTTTCAGAGTCTCTTTTGTAGGAGCATTGTTTAATATTCAGCACTGAATTCTGGATCTGTCTATAGTTTTGTCTGCTTAAATTGTAAGCCGAGCCAGTATATCTATAGTCCTATACAGTTTCATAGCTCTCCCTCGTTTATGTGTATGATGACAGTGTATGCATGAACCATAACATCTAGACTTAATAGATTGTGGAGTGTTCAATAAGCATTATGTAGATGATAGGTAAGAATTAAAGGGATTTAATTTCTTAGAAAGAAAATGGAAAATGGCATATTTTTAAAACAAAGTTTATTCGATTATTTATTTTTTTTGTATTATATGTGATTCCCTTATCCCTTCTTCATCCCAACCATTCATAGATATGTTTACTCTCAGTTGAAGAGTGAGACAGATTCCTGAAGCAAAAGATTTAAAAGATAATTTAAAAGAGGGGAAAATGTAGCTTCATGGCATTGCTAGAAGTGGTTCATCCTGTGGGCTGGGAAGAGCTGGGCATTCAAGTAGACTTAAAGATGACAAGCAGGAACTGAACATGGCTCATTTAGGTTCTAAAACCAATTAGATGTGGAAAAATGCCAAGTTGAATGCTGATTAGGATTTGTCCCCATAAGTGAGAAAGTAACAGCGTTCTTATGTTTTTGATTGTTTTGTTTTTGTTTGTTTTGTATTTTGTGTGTTTTTGTTGTTGTTGTTGTTGTTTTTTGACACAGGGTTTCTCTGTGTAGCTTTGCACTTTTCCTGGAACTCACTCTGTAGCCCAGGCTGGCCTCGAACTCACAGAGATCCGCCTGGCTCTGCCTCTCAAGTGCTGGATTAAAGGCATACACCACCACCACCGCCCGGCTCGCATTCTTATGTTTTATCCACTGTGCTTTCGTGCCCTTTTGAGAGGTTACAAGGGAATTGATGACTTACACATGGCACTGGGAATGTTTGGGAAGAGAGGATTCAGTAAACAAACAGTTTGAATCAGATGTATTTGTATGTTTCATAATGATCAATGGCTTTTATTTTTCCTGATCTTACTGGGTCAGAGGAGAGTGGGGAGCTGGTGAATTTATTTCTGTGCCTGGACTAGGAAAAAGAAAACTCATTTAGGAATTTTAACAGTTATGCTGTTGAGCTTTTATTTTACTTTTTAAAGTTATTTGCAGTTACTTTGGATTGATGCTGATTGGAAACAGTGACCACACTCTTCTCCTTGTCAGGAAACTGCATTCAGAGAATGAGAAGGACACCTCCATTGGATGAGCTACAGCCACCACCTTACCAAGACGACAGTGGTTCTCCTCACCTCTCTTGCACACCCTCTGAAATTGGGGATGGGAAGTGTGAAATTTCCCACTGCAGCAACAGCCCACGGTGTTCTTTCAACAAGTGCCCCAGTGAAGGAAGCACAGGACACGAGGCAGAGAGTTTTCACAATAAAGGATATGAAGATGATGTCCCTAGTGACAGCACGGCAGTCCTCAGCCCCGAAGTAAGCAGAAGCAGCCTGCGGTTGCCAGTGAGAGTTCTCTGGGAGTTACTTGCCTCTTGATGACAATGGTCTATGGTGTCTCAGCCCCTGTAGCTTCTCATACTGAAACAAACTCACTAAGGCTGCTGCAGCCTATATCCCACATCCTTCCCACAACAAAGAGATGGGAGCTAAGGATGGTTGTTGTTTCTTAAATTCCTTTTATAGAACCTTCTGGAATGATTTACCGTTTTGCTCATGTTTCATGCTTTTTATCATTTTATTTTGGATTTTTTATTATATAATTTTTTGTTATTTTTGTTATTTTATTTGTTAAGATTTTGTTAGTCCTCCACCTACATCATCCTTTCCTGAATTTGGAGTATTAGGCACAACTTTTTCATGTAAAACATTAAGATAAAACATAAAGCATAATTAAATTGTTGGAGTTACAAGTTATTTCAAAGTGAAGAGTATATTTCCCTCCAAATACAAACACCTTGTTCTTCAAGGCTAACAATATGATCCTGCCTAACTCAATTCACAATAATAAGTTTCAGGTGGAATTTGTGTTTATTAGCTACATATAACATGTACAATGTCAACAGACTAAGCAGAGCTTGGATAATGTGCATAATGAATAATGACCAAAAGTTGATAAAAAACGACAACAATTTCATACAATTCACTGAAGATGCAGTACAAAATAACTCCTAAAACTAATGAGAAAATATTATGCTCATTATAAAACAGGAAAATGGAAAAAAAACATAAATTATGTAGTTTTGCATGCAGAAAATTGGGCAAATTAACTCATTTCATGTTCCTGTGAGGACATTGACTGACCGGAATTTTATTTGTCGTGATCATTTGTTGATGAGTTTGGTGTAACCTATAAAAATGGACGTGCCTGTATTATTCATAGTTAGCAAATCTGCTCATTTTTCTACTTTCAAACTATTACACATGCGGATTAAAATGTGTATAAAAATTAAAATATTTTATTCAGTGTTTCACAAGCCTTTCAAATTTTACTGTATTTTCATTTCATAGAGTATGAAAGGAACAAATGCTGGTTAGCTTTACTGGTGAAATTTTACAATTTCCTAAATTTAGTGTGGCTAGCTGCTTTTGTTTGTTACTTTTCTGATGTGAAAATGGTAACAAAATAATTGTCCTTTTGTAATACAAGAATTTGTCTCATTCATTCTTAGGATGAAGACTAAGGTAACCCAAGCCTCACATGCAGCAACTATCTGTAGGATTTACTTTCTTTACAAGTTTTACATTGCAAGCTTCTACAGCTTCCCCCTCCCTCCCTCCTTCCACCAATGCTATCACTCTGACATGGAAGGTAGTTTTCTAATACACAGTGTGATTAAGGTGTGGACAGAATTTCTCAGTTTGGGGTTTTCTCCTATAATTTAAAAAACACTATAACTACTTTTCTAGTAGTTTTAGTATTGTCGTATAGTATCTGACATAGAAGAAAATGTTGAATTGATACTTTAAGCCTAATGTGTCATGATGCCACCAGTTTTCTTGTGTGCTATCACATAGACACATTTGAGAACTTGTGTGTTTGAAAACTATATAGGTAGCCACTGACTTAACAATGACTGTGAATTATAACAGTGACCACAATAGTATCTGACACCTAGTCGTCTTAATCATTGTTCACAGTTACTTCTTCAGGAAGTTAAAAAAAAAAAAAATGCTAGTTTCAGAGAGAAGCAGGTAGCTCTGTTCCAACCTAGGTCCCTGTGAGTGCAGAGAAGGAGTTAGTAACAGCCACATTACTCTGTACATTCTTGTTGACCTGAATTGTTGTTTGAGGATTTCTTTGTTGCAGTAGTGCCATCTGGACATACTACAAGGCAAACTGTCCCAGAAACCTTAATCACTAAAGTAAAATGTTCAAATGACAACCAGATGCCTGTGTGTGTGTGTGTGTGTGTGTGTGTGTGTGTGTGTGTGTGTGTGTGTGT